TCAAGAAACTGTGATATAACTAGCCAAATACAGTGATCCAATAGGTCTCTGCTCTAATACAGACCTGATAATAGGACTGCTATGAACAAATCCTTAGTAGCAAATCCAAACAGTGCTCACTTTGTGATACTTGGACATGAGTGTATTTCAAAGAGCATTTGAATGCTAGAATTGATCTCTCCTGACTTCAGGAGACTTACCGATAAGCCAAAGAGTTGATTGAATTCTGGGAGTAAAACATGTCTGTCCTCCATTTTCCGGCGGATGTTGCGAATGGCATGGCTCGAAATAAGCAGGAAGCGTTTTAATGACTTCAGGGAAGGCAGCAGCTTCTGCCATTCACAGCAGATGTCTCGGAGCTTATTAAAGAAACAGCGCTGCAAAGAGCCTCCATCCAGCACTGATAGCAGAAAAACAGAAGATGACGTAGTTGTGTGTTTGGGAAAAGAAGAAGGAAAACAAATGATGATATTCAAAAACCCAATCTCCTCTCTCCTACTTACCCTCTCATTTGCCTTATGTCTTTCCATTCCTTCTGAAAATATTCTGCCTCTATTAGCCTCTGACTGGGAGCCAGAGTTCAGTCCCTCCCATTAAACCACTGGTTTTAGACATATGAGTGCCTATGGATACCCAGTACATTTCCTCCAACTGGGATTATGAAAAAAGTAGCAAAAAGTATATATTATGATATTTGGTCCAAATACATCTGAGTCAAACCCCCTCTTATTCCTTCTGAAAATATTCTGCCTCTATTAGCCTCTGACTGGGAGCCAGAGTTCAGTCCCTCCCATTAAACCACTGGTTTTAGACATATGAGTGCCTATGGATACCCAGTACATTTCCTCCAACTGGGATTATGAAAAAAGTAGCAAAAAGTATATATTATGATATTTGGTCCAAATACATCTGAGTCAAACCCCCTCTTGAGAACACAGCCAAAAAATTCTGACCCAACAATATGCTATTATGGACAAGAGGATCTTTCAGTCCAATTTATTAAATAGTTATTACCTCTGAAGTTCATCATGTAGTTAAATGTTTGACAGTTTTGCAGGGCAACACACTACTTAAGGTCACAATGAGGATCCAAACACAGTTTAGTGTATTAGACAGAAATCATCCACTATTGCGAGTACAATTTATTATGCATATTGATGGAAGTGTAGCCACTTGTAAAGAAAATTAGATGCAGATGAAAATTCTAAGACTGTGCACAGTGCTGCTGTTGTCTTGACACACAGGTCACAAATATTAGTCTGCGTTAGACCTGGCTATATGCATTTGAATGATATTCACTGAAAACAATGGATACCCACAGAATGTATCGTGAGGATTTAATTGGGTTAATAGCCCAGTGCAAATCAGCTAACAGTAGTGTTTAAACCAGGAGTGGGATGCCTCAGGCTCAGGGGCCACATGTGGCCTCTGGCATGCCTAAATCTGGCCCCCGAGGCTCAGGGCCTCTCCCCCCAGCATTGGGGAGCCCACACTGGCACTCCAGCCCCACTGCTGCCCTATTGTGAGGCTGGAGCACACAAAATCTACTAATCTGGGCCCCCATAGGCTCTGGTATGGGAGGAGAATATGGGCAGTGTCTTTCTCCTTCTTGTTTAGGGGCCATGTCAGTGAGGGGGTTTTGTTTGTTTTTGCTTCTCACTTGTGTGCAGCCCCTCACTGATTTTTCTGTGGGTCAATGGCTCCCAACCCCAAAAAGGTTCCCCACTCCTGGTTTAAACTGTTGTCTTCTTCAATAATTTTCACACAGAGTGAATTATTGGATGTTAAAAGCACTAGGACATAATACCATCTCTGCCACATTACTGCTTTGCCACTACAGAGCAGAATCACAACACTATAAAAAGCAATATAAAAAGCACTAGCTAGATACTCAAATTGTTTCCTGGACCCATCTCAAATTGCATTAATCCCAGCACTCAGTCTGTTGAGCAACAAGCTGAGATATTTGTGGTTATTTCTATCTTAGCAGTTCAAGGTCTCTCAAACAGACTTCAATTTTTAAGTTTTCTGTCTAAGTAAAAAACTATCATCCAATGCTTAAGCAAGTTGTTTTAAAGTGTTCGTTCTCTCATTTATGGAACTAGATGTCCAGTTTCAGATATTTTCTTGCATTCTGAGAATGAAAAGAACTTGGATTTAATACATCCAGTTTTGACAAGTGGTCAGTCTGTGATATAATCTAATCACTTTTGATTTACTCATTTTTAGAAATTTTTAAATAGGCAAGATTTAAGGTTCTCAACATATTAGCTGTTTATCAGTAGACTTGCTAGTTAACTTAGCTTAAATATGCAAACCATTACACATCCTAATGCCTGAGTGATACGTTTCTTTAGCCAGGCATGTAGCCATTATGGTGATATGTCTCTAAGCCAAGTTTTTAAAATTATTCTCAAGTACATTTTCATGAAAGATTGATGAGATTCTGGTCTATCACGGCAAGTCTTTTCTCAAGACAAATTTCTCTTTTGCTAGGATATATTTTAATCTTTTTAAAATCAAAGCAGTTATTATTCGCTTTATAATAGTACTTATGAGCTTCTGTGGAGGACAAGGTCATATTGTGGTCAGCACTGTAAAATAGAGTGAAAGATGGTTTCTAACCTACAGTTAGACAACTGGGTGTAATAAGCAAGGAGGGCAAGGGAAATCATAATAAGAACACAAATACATGTAGTCCAGATATGTGCATAGCTGAATGATTTCAAGAGCTGTATTTCTTCCTGAGAATAGTAAGAGAGTCTCTGCAGAGTGGATAATTTCAGATAAGTTATCTAACACACTGAAATAGTTTAAAGATCATTCC